TTACTAATTCAGGACATTGCAATGCCTTGTTTGAATTGGGAACAAACTGTCCGAATGTACCCTGTATAATTCTGCCTTCACAACTTCTATTTTACTAGTCTTAAATAGGCAAGTGGCTGCAACAAAGATGTGCTAGGCCCTTTGTCTACCAACCTCAAATGACCAGGATAACTCTACACTCCTAATATTAATGTTTTATACATTTTACGTACAAAAATGGCCAACATGCGGACACTTTGTTCCGTCACTGTAGGAGGAGGAGCAGGCTTAGAAGTTGAGGGAAAGTGAGAAAGGGGTTGATGGTAAGGGCGTAGAAGTTGAACGTGGAAGACATGATGGATGTTGATGTGAGAGGGGAGCTTAAGGCGGTAGGTGAGAGGAGAGAGGACTTGGGTGATAGTGAAGGGTCCAATGAAGCGAAGAGCTAGTTTACGAGTAAGGCCTTCTTGCAGTAGAGGGAGATTGGCCGTTGAGAGGAGAACCTGGTCACCTTCTTTGAAGTGGATGTCACGCCGATGCTGGTCAGCATACTGGATCATACGCCATTGTGCTCGAAGAAGAGATGCACGTGCTGTTGCAATGACTGTGTTCTTGCTGCTGAGGAAAGCAGTTGCTGCAGTATCTCGAGTGGGGCTGTGTACGAGTGAAGAGGGAGTGCGAGGGTTTTGTCCAGTAGCAAGGTAGAAGGGGTTCTCTCCAGTGGCGAGGTTCACTGTGGTGTTGTAGGAGAACTCGATGTCAGGCAGGTGGAGATCCCAGTCGTTCTGGGATGCGTTGACGCAGGCTCGCAGACCATCTTCAAGCGTCCGATTCATCCTTTCAGTCTGCCCATCTGACTGAGGGTGATAGGCAGTTGAGAGGCGAATTTTGGTCCCGAGCCTGTTGAAGAGGGTTTGCCAAAATCGGCTAAGGAAACGGGAATCACGATCAGAGATTAGAACAGAGGGGACGCCATGAAGACGTACCACCTCTTTGAAGAACAGCTCAGTAGTATGCTGTGTAGTAGCTGTGGTAGATGTGGGAATGAAATGCGCCATTTTAGAGAGCTTGTCAACAACAGTGAGAATGGCATTATGATGAGAGGCAGTAGGGGGAAGATCAGTGATGAAGTCAAGAGTGACATGACTCCAAGGGAGCTCAGGAATGTCCAGGGGATGTAAGAGACCATAAGGAGCTGCGTTGCGAGCCTTGTTACACTGACAGATATGGCAGGAGCGCACGTAGGAGCGAACGTCACGAGAGAGCCTGGGCCAGAAGAAATTAGCAGAGATGGCCGCAAGCGTCTTGTCAACTCCAAAGTGTGCGTTCTGATCATGATGCTCGCGATGCAAGAGGTGACGCAGCTTTCGGTTTGCTGGGACACAGATGGTGTGAGATTCTGTCTTGTACCAGAAAGGGGATTCATAGTAGACAGACTTATGGGTAGGGGCAAAGGAGAGGTAAAATGAGTCACGCCGATATCCCTTGGTGAACTTGCTAATGAAGTTCTCATCCCAAGTCATTGTGTCAATGACTGAAAGCTGAGAGGGTGGAGGTCGAGTCAATGAGTCAGCAGGATTGAGGCGACCAACACAGTACTCAATCTTTAGCTCAGGCATATACTGCTCCAAGTATTCCATCCAACGAGCCTGTCTGGGGGTAAGGTGAGGTTGAGTCTTGAAGTGTTGAAGGGTGCAATGGTCAGGAAGGACAGTGACGGGTTGCATATGGACATAGCAATGCCACTTTTTTATGGCATGGACAATGGCCAACATCTCACGGTAATGAGTGGCACAGTTGCACTCAGCGGGTTTGAGCTTTCGAGAATCGAAAGCAAGGGGTTGAAGGCCATGTCCTTGATCTTGACAAAGGATTGCACCCGTTGCATCACTGGAGGCATTTGTCCATACGGTGAAGGGAAGCGAAGGGTTGGGAAGGGCTAGAGTAGGAGAAGAGGTTAAGGCTTGTTTGATGGCTTCAAAGGCTTTGTCTTCGTCTGGTCCCCAATGGAATCCTTCTGTCTTACGCAGTAGGTTAGAAAGGGGGGAAGTGATTGCAGCAAGGTGTTGAATGAACTTTCGATAATAGTTAGCGAGGCCAAGAAATGCTTGCAGTTCTTTGATGGAAGTTGGAGGCTTCCAATCTTGGACTGCTTTTACCTTAGAAGGGTCCATGGACAACTGAGTGTGTGAGATAATATGGCCCAAGAAAGGAATCGAGGACCGAGCAAACTCACACTTGGTTTGTTTGACAAAAAGGTAGTGCTGGCGTAGACGAGTCAGCACCTGTCTTATATGATGAACATGCTCATCCAATGATTTGCTATAGATCAAAATGTCATCAATGAAGACAATGACAAATCGGTCCAAGAAATCACGGAAGATATAATTCATCATAGACATGAAGGTGGCAGTCCAAAGGGAAGGACAAGGAATTCAAAGTGCCCATACCGAGTTCGAAAGGCAGTTTTCTCAATATCTTCATCAGCGACACGTACTTGGTGATAGCCGCTGCGAAGATCAAGCTTAGAAAAAAAATTGGCCTCACCCAACTGGTCGAAAAGCTCCTCAACGCGAGGAAGGGGGTAGCGGTTCTTGATGGTGATTTTGTTGAGCGCACGGTAGTCGATGCACATGCGCATGCTACAATCCTTCTTTTTGACAAAGAGGATTCATGCTGTATAGGGCGATGAGCTTACGCGGATGAAGCCTTTGTCCAGGAGCTCCTCAAGTTGCTTCTGGACTTCTTGCAACTCCGCCGTGCTCATCCGATATGTAGCACGCACTGTAGGCTCAGATCCAGACTGTAGGCAGATTCTGTAGTCAACGGCTCGTTTGGGTGGTAGTCCTGGAGGAAGGTCTGAGGGAAAGACATCCTTAAATTCAGAAAGAAGTTTCTGAATTTCAAGGGGGTCATTAGACACAGGAGGAGATGGAGGGATAGATCAGGCTTGAGAAATTTGGTGAAGATAGCAGAAAAAGAATTGTGTAGTGGGGTCTTTAAGGGATTTCTTTATCTGTCTTATAGAAAGAAGATTTCAGGTAGGTAAGGAAGGGGAAGAAGGAAATTGAGGTAGGGTGATGTCTGTGCCGTTATGCTTGATGGTGACATGGTCATGGGTCCAGTCAATGGACGGATTCTTGGCAGAAAGCCAGTTTCTTCCAAGAATGACACTGTGACCTTTCAAGGGAGCTTGCTGAAAGTAGAGCTTGTCCTTGTAAGATCCGATGGTGTAGTTGACACGATAAGGGACAGGGCCACATGAGAGGGATAACCCGTCGGCAAGTAAGATTGTCTGAGGCTTTATGTCTGGTTGGAGAGGGAGAGATAATTCAGACACAAGTGAGGAAGAGATGAAATTAGAGGAGGCACCACTGTCAATCAAGGCTTTAACGACTCGGCTTCGAATGGTCATAGAGAGGTAAAGGGGTTTAGAGGGAGAAGGGTTTTCAAGGGAAGCGATCATGGGGCTACGGGTTGCACCAGAAAGTCACCCCGCACTTACTGATGACCACCTTTTCCAGGGGCAGGAAGAAGTGGTTTTGAATTTGGAGGACTGCGGCAGAATCGCCAGATGTGACCTTTCTTGCCGCACTTGAAGCAGACGACGGAGGGGTTCTGATTCCGCTTCTTCTCCATCACATCCAGGTCCATCGGAGCAGGTTCTTGCTGAGCGTAGCCTGTCGAAACAGAGGGCTGATAGGAGGGAGCAAAAGGGAGCAACGGGGCACGAGGAAACCTTGCTTTGTAAGCAAATTGAATTGAGTCATATCGTTCAGCGACTCTGATCTCCTCAAGCGCCGTGCAATCCCTCAGCACAACCTCCATACGCACGTTCTGCTTCAACCCACGCCTGAAGCAGTCCATGCGTTCAGCGTCGGAGAGGTCGGGGATTTCTTGGGCGATGTCGCGGAAGTTGGCGGCGTACTCTTGAACGGATTTCAGCTGCTTGAGAGCCGCAAGTCGATCACGCGCCTTGATGCTCGGATTTACTGGTTGGAAGGCGATCGTGAACGCCTGCGTGAAGTGCTGCCACGATGTGATGGAGGTGTATGCAGCTTGCCACCAAGCAACTGCGGAGCCGTGGAGTAACGTGCCGGCAAAGGCGCTCCACTCGGAAGGTGCAACGTGGCTCAGCGTCAAATACTGCTCCACTAAAAAGAGCCAACGACTAACAACAGGTTTACTTTTGCCTGGGATGAAGAAATCAGGAATCGCCTCTCTAGCGCGCTGACTATCTCCAGAAGGCGTAGCAGGAGGAGGATTCGCTGCTACCGCACCGGCTGCAGCCATACTAGCTTGCAATTCAGCTCGCAAACTCTCACGAACTTCAGAAACGATTTGGGCGTGGTAATTCTTTAGAAAAGCCGCCCAATCGTCAGGAGAAGGGGGTTGCTCGGACGTCATGACGTTCTAAAAAAAATCAATGCAGGAACGAGGCTCTGGTACCAAATATAACAGCTCTGGGGCTGTTAGTAGGAGTAGAGGTTGAGGGATCCTTGAAGAAAGAGTGTTAGCATAATCACTAGATCATATGATTGCTTCAAACAAGGAAGAGAGCACACTTATACTAGGAAATCTTTCTTGGCACCTTGGTACTTCTAAAGGCGCATAGATAAGGTCGCCCGTGGCGTCTTGGCATTTCTATCCTAGCTGGAGACAAGCAAGCAAGCTCATGATTATTTACAAATAGCCTTGCCTTGTTGTCTCTCCTAGGAAATAGCTAAACAAGCATAGAAATTAACTATACAAGTAGTTTTCATTTTGCAAGTAATGCGGGCGTCTTCGTCACCTTGTACATGTCGATTGTAGTTTACGCTGGCGCTTGTAGTAGCTGCAGTAGTTAATCTCTACGTTGCGCTGGCGCTACGCTTTGCTGGCTCTCGGAATCTGCTCTTAGAGTAGTGCTGTGACTCACAGGCAGCTGTACAAATTTGGGGTTTTTGGAATTGTTCAGTTCGAGGCGCACGATTTTGGTTGGACAAATCCAACCTCGAAATCTACAGTTCGCTGAGTTGGCGAACTTTTGGGTAAGTTCGCTTTCGCCTTGTAACAGCGGAGCATCGCAGCAGCTGTGGAGTCCTCCCCCCTGCCCATCGCCGCTACCGCCCTCACCGCGCACCGTCGCTGCCACACCCGCCTATCGCCAGCACCAGTCGCGCTGTCTGCCGTGCGACCTCTCGCTTGCCCGGCGGCCCTGCGTGCCTCCCGCGGGCGCGCTTCATGCGCGCGCCTCTCGTCGCCCTTCGCCCGCGCCCCTCCCTCTCTCCGCTTCACCCGCCGCGTGCGCCACCAGCTCTCGAATCCCCGCCTCCTCCCCTCAACTTCCCCACACAACTCCTCCCGCCGAGCCTCCCGCATTAGTAGTTCCCGCCGTGCTGTGCGGTCTGGGCAGGCGCGTGCTTTCCTCGCGCTTCTCGCCCCCTTGTTCGCCGCCCTCGGCGCGGCCTTCGCTGCCGTCTCCACCACCCTCGCCGCGCTGCCGGTTACTCTGACGGCCACCTCCGTTGTTACAACCGCCTTTGCAGCGAGCGCGGCAGCTGTGTCGTTGGTGCTCCCGCTGGTGCTGGGCGCGGTGGGCACAGTGGGAGTGGTGTCCGTGGGTGTGCTGTGGCCGCTGCTGGACCGCCTCCTGTGCCTCGCGCTGCTCCTCAACTTCGCCGCGGGCGTGCTGAGCCTCGCCAGGGACTCGTACAGGCTGGGCCACGCGCGGCACCGCACCCTGCAGGACCCAACGCTGGTGAGAATATGGGCCGCGGAGAGGTACCAGGACGCGTACGACCGTGGAACCTCCGAGGACGAATACAGCAGCAGCAGCAGCAGCAGCAGGGGCAGTGTGAGAGGCAGTAGTGGGGAGGGTAGCAGAAGGGGCAAGAGCATTGTAGCTGGCGTGCGGGAGTTTTTTCTGGAGGCAGGCGACCCTCGGTTCGACTGGTTCGTGGCTGGAGTGGTGAGCTTGATCCCCGGCGTCAACGGCACCGCATGGCTGCTCGCCTCGTGGCACTCCTCGCCCTTCCTCTCTCCCGGCCACAGGCGCCACATGGCCAAGAACGCTGCAGCCTACAGCCTGCCCAGCCTCGCCTCCCTCCTCGTCTTCGCCCTAGGCTTCCCCTCCCCCACCTCCCTCCTCTCGCCCTTCTCTTCCCTCACCTCCTTCCTTCTCTCGCCATTCAGCCAATCAATGGTCGCCACTGCAGCAGGATCAGCAGCCGCTGGAGCGGTGGCAGCATTAGGCGGGGTGTCGGTGGTGGGGTATGGCAGCAGCAGTGCGTGGTGGGTGAGCATGGTGCTGGGGGCGGTGCACCTGCAGCTAGAGCGAGTGAGGGCCGTGAGCATGCAGGAGAGCAGAGAGGTGCTTCGCGCCTTTGGGCGCGGGCTAAAGAGGACGAGAGAGAGGCGACGAGGGTGGATGAAGGGGATGAATTGGTGGGATGGTCAGGCGGGAGGTGATGCGGATGAGGGGGCTGGCAACGATGGTCGTGCCCGACGCAATAGCAGTGGCAGCGGCGGGAGCCAGGGTGCTGATGTGTGGATGGAGGAAGAGGAGCGGAGGCGGCTGCAGCAGTTTGATGCGAAGCTCGTGGGGAGGCCTCTGCAGCAAATGGGTATGCCAAGCAGCCCGGCACAGTGGCTTGGGCACAATGGCTAGGGCTACCACTGTGGGATGCGGGGGCCAAAAGCCGTGCATGTAAGCAATCTACTTCGTAGTCAGAATCAATCTCTCACCCGTTCTCCTCAGGCTGCCTCTTTCTCTGCATGGACAGGCCCGCCGGCAGCATGGACAACAGACGATGTGGTAACATGACTCACAACAGAGGGCTTTGCCTCCTATGCATCTGCATTCCTCCACCACGCTGTCTGCAGCCAGGTGCCTTCCTCATGCACCCTTGCTGCCCTGCCCTGGGCTTCTCCCTGCATCCTTGCCTTTCCTGTCAACAATCTTAGTGTTTCCCTTTTCCTCATTGTGTCTTTCCTGCTTCTATCCCTCCCTCACTCGCCCCTCACACTGCATTGCGCCGTCAGTCCTTTCTCCTCCATGTGTGTGCATTGCATGTGTGCATGTGCTGCCAGCAGGTGTTGCTGGACCTGATAGCAGAGGACCTGAGGGATGATCTGGGGGTGCGCACTCTAGGTGACAGGAAGAGGCTGCTTTCAGCCATTGCACAGCTCAAACTGTGGTTTGGCTCAGGGCAAGCATGAGCGCACGGGTGGTTGGCTGGACAAATGTCCAGTTGGAGTACCACTCTAATAACCCGGATGTAACGCAATCTCCAGGTCTGATTACCCTAGGTCCTATCTAAAATTCATAAAAAATCGTCAAGCTGGACTTTATAGGAAGGTAGTTATTAATGTTGTGATATAATTGATACTTAGCATGTAAGTCGATTATGTGTAGTTAGTGTCGAATCATACTGTAGAAGATAAGTCCGTAGGATGATGTTGGGCTGAGAAAAACCCTTTAGGATCTTTTGCAGAGATTAAGTCCCAGCTGTAAAGACTTGAGACTTGGAGTAGTGCAGCGGAAGTTGAGGCAGTTGAACCCTTGTACTAGTATGTGAGAACAAGTGATTGATTAAAGAAACAAGCATACAGCAATATATAGAAGATAAGGAAGCAGTTGTAGAATACAGTTACAGGAACGGTTTATCGAGTCGCACAGCGACTCGATTGCCGCTTCGGTTACCATCCGTGATGTTGTAACGGTCAGTCGCAACCTCCAGTTGCGACCTTTCGAGTCCTTTCGCATTCTTTGTCCGCCCCCTCGTGTAACCTCCGTTGACTCGCGTGCTCCCCTGTAATCTTCCTCGAGTACAGTGTTACACTTCAGAAACGCTTAAGTCCTTGAGATATTTCCAACACTCCCCTTCGTTTCTGGAGTGCTGGAGTGTTCAGATCCGGTGACGTTTGTTTGCCCGGTTAGGAGCATGCAGTAGTCGAATTTTGCTTTCGCCAATTTCTTCGTCAGATAATCTGCGGCCATTTCTGTCGTCGGGCAGTAACTGAGTTGAAGTCTCCCCTTCGCGATTTCATCCTTGACGAAGAAGTACCGCAGGGCGATGTGCTTGGTTCGGTTGGCGAAGCCGTCCTTGTTCGCGATTTTTATCGCAGATTGGTTGTCGCAGAGGAGTGAGAAGGTGGGCAGGGTCGCGATCTTCGCTTCTTCGAGTAACTCTCGTAGGTAGAGTCCTTCCTTGGTCGCAGTACAAAGGGCGATATACTCTGCTTCAGCCGAGGATAGTGCGATTAACTCCTGCTTGCTCGACTGCCAGGAGATAGTTCCGATAGGTTCTAGTCGGTAGATGTAGCCCGTCCTAGACCGTCGATTTTCGCTGTCTCCCGCGTGGTCGGCGTCGACGTATCCGAGTAGTCGTACGGACGGTGTTGTTGCCTTGCTGTAGGTGAGCCCGATCGTCGGCGTGGAGACGAAGTAGAGTAGCGCTCGATTGAGTTCTTCGAGATCTTCCTGTTGCGGCTGCTTCAGATGTGTCGCCAGCTGGCTCGCACTATAGGATAGGTCGGGTCGGCAGGTTACTGTTGCGAATAGTAGACAGCCGAGCTTCTGTTGATACTCCTGGATTTGTTTCGCGGGGAGTTTTGTGGAGGCGCTACTGTTGTTCCCGTAGCGGTAGGGAGTTGGGACCGCAGTCGGTGTTAGACCGAATTTCTTCGCGACGGTGCTTGAGTACTTTCCAGCGTGTAGGTAGAACGCCGTGTCGTCTTCGACGACGTTCAGTCCTAGGTACTGCGTCACCTCGTCGGACACCGTGAGCGTCAGGTCCCTTTTCAGCTCCCCTTCGAACCAGGTGACGATGTCGGTGGTAGAACCGATGTAGAGCAGGTCGTCGACGTAGACGATGAGCAGAATGTAATCTCTTCCCTTCTGTAGTCGGTACATGCCTTGGTCATGTGGTAGCTGTAGGAATCCTATTTTTACGAGCCGGCCGTGAAGGTGCTGCTGCCAGAGCCGTGGGGCTTGCTTGATCCCGTAAAGGGATTTTTCCAGCTGGCATACTTTTGAAGGGTCGTCGATGAATCCGTGGGGTTGTTCGACGAAGATTTCGGCGTCCACAGGTGCGTACAAGAAGGCGTTTGCAACGTCGATTTGCCGTAGTGATAGTTTCTTCGTGGCCGCGATGGCGAGTAGGATGCGCAGAGAGGTGTGACGGGAGACTGGAGCGAAGGTTTCTGTGTAGTCGGTTCCGTATCGTTGATCGAAGCCTCGTACGACCCATCGAGCTTTGAATCGTTCGATGGAGCCGTCTGAGTTGGTCTTGATGCGGTACACCCATTTCCCCGAGAGAATGTTCTTCCCGTTGATGCTCGTTGCAGGTACCAGTTTCCATGTTTCTCGGTCTTGCAGAGCTTTTAACTCTTTTTCCATCGCTTCCTTCCATTGTGCCTTATGTTCCCCCCCCAGAGCCTGCGACAGGGTCGACGGCTCGCGCGGAGAAGGCGGCGGCGGGTGCTGGACGGAGACCCATAGTCCTAGGATCTGCAGTCCCGTGGCTGTGTGTCGAGGGGAGTTTTCATTCTCGGGATAAGCTGCTTCATCACCGTCTTCAGGATCGGGTAAGAAGTTTGGCCCGATGCGTTCGGAAATATTCGAGTCGACGGGGTGTGGTGTAGCGTAGCCTTGGTCAGCGAAGTGGTAAAAGGTGTCGAGGTTGTTGCTATCGAGAGGATTATCTTCATCGAGTGGAACAGGTACGGAGCAGTAGGGGAGTGGTCCGGCAGCCTCCGAGGCTCCAGGGACGTCTTCTTCTGCTGCGTCAGCCTCGGCAGCATGGTCAGCGAAGGAGCGAAGGCCCGCGAAGCCGTCGGTGGGGTCGTCTGAGTTGGCAATGTTGTCCAGGTAATGCTGCAGCGTCAGTCGCTCGTAGAAGATAACATCACGTGATGCCACCGTATTTTTGTCGTGTATGTCGAGAATCTTCCACGCGTGAAAATGTTTGGCGATGCCGAGGTGTAGTCCCCACCGAGCTCGTTGAGTGAAGCGTCCTGCTCGAGCTGTGTGGGGTCTGTATTGTACCATGCAGCCGAAAACTCGAAGTAATTTTGTGCTGCCCCTTTTTCCCGTCCACAGCAGGTGCGGTGATGCGTTGTTGGGGAGCGATGACGAGGACAACAGGTTGTGCAGGTGGACTGCATGTGTCATCGCGTCTGGCCACAGTGTATTGGGCAGCCTCATCCCCAGAAGCAGTTTTCGCATCGTCGTCTGCAAGGTCCGGTTCATGCGTTCTGCTACCCCCTGCTGCTGGTGAGCATAGGGCAGAGACACCAGGCGTCGGATTCCCCTTTCCGCGAGATAGGTCCTGAAGCGTTGTGACTGGTATTCCAGTGCACCGTCTGACTGGAAACTCTTGAGTTTGGTTCCTGACTCTCGTTCGGCGATTGGAAGCCATGTGGTGAAGGCCTCGAAGGCTTGATCGCGCGTTTTGAGATTGAAGTGCCAGACGTATCTGGTTGCGGCGTCGATGAACGTGATGACGTAGTTGAAGTCGGCTTCGGTGTCGTCTCGAGGCATGTTTAGAATATCGCTGTAGACCTTTTCCATCGGAGCGTAAGTGGGTGCGCTTGGATTGTGATGGGCTGGGAAAGGTTGATGAGGAAGATCTGCTTCGGGGCACGTGAAGCATCGTGCTCTTGGTCGGCGAAGTTCTTGGCCGCTCGTCGTTAGAAGGGCGTTACGTTCTAACACCTCTGCTTGTATTGTTTGTAGTATCGTGCTGTTTGCAGGATGTCCGAGACGTTGGTGCCAGATGTCGTCGGGAGCGCGGTGACCGGGCGAGCGGTGGTAGATGTCGGCGTTGGAGAAGAACGCGACGACCGAGGCGGGACTTCGACAAGCTTCTCGTGTGGCGGGCATAAGTTGGTCTGCTTCCGTTGGCGGTCCTCGTGTTGATGGTGGTGGTACTCGGCTGGGTCCTGCTGCCGATACTGCAGGTGATGGTTTTGTTGGGACGCTTGCTGGTACTTGTCTTTCTTGTCTGATAACTGCTAATGCCCGTGTTCTCTCTGCTGCAGGTATGGTGTTGGAGTGCCAGAAGCCGTCACTGTCGAAGTCGGGATCAAGATCTGGTGGGTGAGTCCAGGCGGCGAACGATACGATGCCATCGCTGTCGGCAGTTCCGCGGTCGGGGACGAAGTCCAACACGAAGACACCGGACTTCAGGAGGGCACGACCGATGAAGAGACCGCCCTTCCCGTGGTAAAGTCGGAACTCGTTGGAGAAGGAGTCGCACTCCAGGTGAATCCCCTTAGCCATTAGTTGGCTTACGCTTAGTATGTTGTATCCCAGATTGTCGACGATGAGGACTTTGTTGAGCTGAAGAATAACGTTTGTCTCCATTGATTGTAACTGAACCACGCCTTGCCTGTTTGTTTTCAGGTTTTCGTTGTTGGCGACGGTGATGACGACGTCGCGGTTGAGGCGTCGCTCGTGTTGTACGAAGCGTCCGGAGGAGCACATGTGCTGACCGCAGCAACTGTCCAAGAACCAGGTGTTCCGCCCGGTGGGTTCGGCGTTAGCGACTGCAGCGTATGTCGGGTTGACCTGAAGTCCTTGCGAGCGCGGCGGCGGGAATTCCTCTTCGTCTGGTGCGTAAGTGGGTGGTGAAGCGGGTGCGCAGTTGTCGATGTGTACCATGCAGTTGATGATGTTGGGTGTTTGTTGTGCAGATGTTGAAGAGCGCCTTGGAGGACTTGCTTGAGTGGAAGCGACTTGTGGGTCTGCTGCACGGTAAACGCGAGGGCGGTTGCAGTTGACCTTGGAGTGCCCGGAAGTCTGACAGTTGTGGCAGAACGGCGGCACGATGGTGAGTCCTCGGTTGTCGCGTTGATCTTGCTTGCTGCGTCGGTTGTAGTTGTTGTCATTTCTTCTTTGAGTGTAGAAGACTAACTGCTGTTGCTTCCTTGGTTGTCTTTCCTCGAACAGATCCATCTCCTGTTGTTCAGCGTGAAGCTCGGCGCAGAGGTGCATCTCCGAAATTCTTCCGTGGGCTCGAAGAAGTGATCGTGTGGTTCTCCATTCTGGCCCGAGCCCGGCGAGGACAAGTGTCACGAAGCTTTCTTCAGTGATCGTTCCTCCGCACCGAAGCAGGCGGTCGCGGAGGGTCTGGCAGCGACTCATATACTGCATCGCCTTTTCCCCGGTCTTCATCTGTATTGTTGTCAGCTGTTGCATGAGTCTGCTTTGTGTCACGCTGTCGTTTGCTTGGTAAAGGCATTTGAGGTGGTGCCATGCGAGCTCCGCGGAGTTTCCATAACTCCGATACGTTCTGATGCTCTGCTGCTCTTGTGGTGACAGGTTTCTCAGGAGTACCGTGTACGCCAGCAGCGACTGATACGTGAAGATCTCTTGTTCCTTCCCAGTGCCGTTGCTTGGGAATGGCAGGGACCCGTTGAAGTATCCCAGAAGATGCGCGG